CGGCCAGTCCCACCAAATTGTAAATTGTCTGACAATCCAATGTGTAAAATATGTGACGTCATTTTGAGTATCAGCCAGTGGTGGGACAGGTCCTTATTCTATTACGGGTAAAGACCATATTTATTGTTCTGTGTGATCTGCGGTGCGCTACGTAAGTTATATTTCTTTTCGAACTTCTGCATCCAGGCTCTCTTCACCTCCTCTACAGCGACAGGATCCTGTGTTGTCGATGTCCTAGCTCGTGCTATACTTTGTAAATAAGATTCATACATACTCATTCTTGGTAAAACCGAATTATCCTCAGCAGGCTCTAATGGCACACTGATTGGGGCAAAAGGTATAGATAACATCTGTTTCCTCGCATCACCAAATATGTGTTGGAATTCCGGCTGATTCTCCGTCGTGTTGGTGACTGATGATGTGGTGATTGTGGAGGACGTTGGCGTGAAGACTGTCGGTCTGTTCTCCTCATCCCAGATGACGGAGTCCAGCCATCTCGCGAAACTGGATACTTTAGGAAAGGCGTGTGTTCTGGTGTACACCGCACAAGTGTGGAGGAAGGTAGCGATCCCGACTAATGTATTGTTTTGTATTACAGCTCCTCCGTCATCTCTCTGGAAAGATATAGAACATTTTATTATTTGCAATATTACAAAGATTACTAACATTAATTGTAGGAAAGCAGTAGTGATGGTTTAAGTAAAAAGATATTGTAGGCAAACGAATACTTGACAGAATACAAGCTTTTTAACTTATAACAAACTTTTGACGATATTTGTCACAGATGTAGAATATAATCTGGAAAAACGGTTTATTTCCGGCTGTACGATGTCGCTGGTAAAAGCTAATTCATTTTAATTAAACTGTTGTTAACTGAAATTAGTTTACTTTAGATGTTTTAATATATCGAAAAAAAAACTTACTCGACAGAAGTGTCTGTTAGGATCCTGTACTCCAGCTGCACAGAGATAATGTCCTGGCAACAATTTAGTCGCTGGCTCACATATCGTCGAGTCTATGAGAGGCGCGTTCAGTACTCGTAAATGCTAGAAAACGATTAGCGATAAAAGTAGTACAATCGATTTTACGTTTACTCTTTGCCACCGAGTAGAATCTGCATAGCTTCACTAGGGTGGCAAAGAATAAAAGTCTTAAATCGTTTGGGTGGCAAAGAATAAAAGAATTATATCGTTTGGGTGGCAAAGAATAAAAGAATTATATCGTTTGGGTGGCAAAGAATAAAAGAATTATATCGTTTGGGTGGCAAAGAATAAAATACTCCCATAGTTTCTCTCATATTCATTCTCCCGTTAATGTATATTGCCTATGTTACTCTATAATAATGTACCTTTCTAGTGACAAATTATTTTTGAAATCGTTCCGATCGTTTTTTTTTTCAGTAGTTTACATAGGATTGCACTATGCATGCATTATATAATGCATTAAAAAAACGTCAATATTTTAATTAGCAAAACTTGATTAGTTTATCAGACTCCTAAATACATTGCTATAAGATTGCCTTGTAATAAATTCAATCGAATTCTCTCATTAATATTTATAACCAATATCTGCTTACCCCATTCGGTGTCCATGCTAGTATTGAGGCGAGGTAGCCCAAATTGACCTCTTCATCTGGTTTAGGCAGGTTGACAGGACCTACACGAGCGCTGTACTCCAGTGGTACTGTTAACTTCAGAGCTGATACTTTCAAATCGAAGTTATTGATAAGGATTCTTATCTGAAAAAACAAAAAACAGTTATGATAAAGCGTTAATTTTTCTTAAAATTCCTAAAGTGTTCCTAAAGTGAAGTGGAAGCAATTCCGCGTTTCGTCTGATGAGTGTGGTGCCGGAGGCCTAATTTTAGCCCCTTTCCCTTTCCACGCTTTTCTTAAAAGGAAAGGATGGGAAGGAAAAGTGGATTTGGCGGTGAAGGAGACGCATAGGAAGGGGAAATGTCCTCTTTATGTGCGTCTTCTCTGTTAATGAAGGGTAGGCAACGCATCTGCAATTGCGGATGTTAATGGGCAGCGGTCGCTTTCCATTTCAGTGGATTCAGATGGCCGCTTGCTCGTTTGCCATCTTATATAAAAAACACATACATAACATACGTGAACGCTTGTCGCGTAACATATGTTAGACCCTGTAACGTTCACAAAATCGTTGAGATGCTTTTTATTAAAGGTGTGCTGGACTAAACTATCGCATAACTGTTTAGTCTCGCTTTGATACTATGAGCTTATGGAGGTAAACCGATTTTAATTTTCCAACTAAACAATTGAATTTGCTACGAAACAAACGACAATCGCACAACAATTGCGTGTCTAGTCAAAGGTGTGAAGATTATTTTTATCTGACTTATGTGTTATTTACCTTATGAATAGCACCACTTTTGTTATTATACGAGCTTCCGACACGCAGCGTGTAGTTGCCGAGGTACTTGTGAGTCACGTACGAAGATATTATGTGTCTGAAATAAATTGAATAAAGTATGTAAGCTATTTAAAAATAATGATTGATTTGATGACATCTACGAGTATAACAAGTTAAAAAGCTGCAGATATTGCCTACAATATGCATGTGCGGAAAAACCTATACTAATATAATAAAGCGCAAACACACTTCTTTATGTAGGATGTCAGCAATCATTGTTTATTTTGAATAAATCTATACTATTATAATAAAACGTAAACACACACTTCTTTGTTGCCTAAGATGTCAGCAATTACAGCATATTTTTGAATAAAAAGCCCTACACTTACGTCACGCTTTAGGCTACGTGTTTCCACGCCATTAAACTTAGGGGGTAAATATTTTGGATAAAAACCCTAATGTGGGAAAGAGACCATAAGTTGCTTCCAATACCGAGATAGAAAGATTGCTAAGGTTTGTCATGTCATGTCATGTCATTTTGACATTTGCTATTGATAATTTGACAAATGTAAACAATAAAATGAAAATTCATGCGGATGGAGCCGCACGGGAACAGCTAGCCTTTTTGTAATAAAAGGTCTTAACACTTTACAGTTACGGCTATAGGCTATATGTTTTCATGCTATTGCAATTAGGGAATAATTTGGAAAAAAATTACGACATGAAACGGATGAAGCCGCACAGGAACGACTAGTTCAAAGATATGTTGGAAATCAATTGCCACTAGCGTGGTTAATTAGGGCCTACGTCTAGGGTTTTATTTTTCTTGGCAAAACAGAATATACCTCTCTGACGTGTGGGATTAAAAAAAAGTGGCCTATGTATTCTTCCAGACTCTATATTATTGACAAATCCCATCGAGATCCGTTCACTAGTAGGCTGCAAACGTTAACAAACATCTATCCATCCATACATGTAAATTTTCGCATTCATAACATTGGTAAGATAGTTTAAAATATGCCTATATCTACTGATCATTAGTTGATGTAGGCATTATTTTAATTCATCACACATTCTGCCATCTCTGGGGATAAAATATGGTGATTGTAACTTACGGATCAAAGCATTTTGACAGCGTAAGCGCCCAGTAAGTGTTGAGCACGGTAGCACTGCAGACGTAGGTACCGTTGCGTTGCAACGCGCCGGCGTAAGGATACTGTTGGACTTGAGCGACTGCCGGCCCTATGTGTTCACCACTGTCCTCTACATCGCGGTCTCCTGGATCACAGATAAAGAATACTTGAATGTTACTGGCTAGTAAGGAGTTCGGATACAATTAGCGTTAGTCGTTACTAGTTGCTTATCGATTGTAAGCAACTGGAGAGTCTAGCTTAAAGTATTCTGAAAAAGGTCTCAAACTGTCTTTTGTTTTTCTTTGCATATTTGTTTGGTATCTGTACTAATATAATAAAGCGTAAACACACGCTACTTTGTGGCGTAGGATGTCAGCAATCACATATTTTTGAATAATACTTTCTTTAATAAAAAACTTACACTTACGACAACTTTAAGTGTACTTTTACGCTTTTAAACTTAGGAGATATATAAATTGGAAAACAACCTTCATGTGGGAAAGGGACAATAAACTAGCTGCCAACATTAAGCAAGCAAGGTTATTTGATAACGGTATTGAGTGTCTTATCCGAACAATTTAAATTCAAAATAGTAACTTGGATTGGTCAGTTATCAGTCAGTTATATATCAGTTAAAATATAAGTGTAAGTGATTAAATAGTTAACTTACCACTGATGTTAGCTTGAGCGATTATATTCGTGCTGTTTGAATCCAATTCGTCCATATCACGGTCAGCTGAAATGAAAAACCAATCTCAATTTTCAATCAAATTAGCGAACAATCGAACGAAATTTGACCAATGGTTAGAAGTAGGTATTCAATTTGTTCTAAGTAGTTTTGACACCATAAGTAATTCAAGATATTTCTTTTTAATAATTGAGAAACCACAGACTATGTCCAACTCTAACTAGCTGTTGCTCGGTACTTCGTTTCCGTGTAATAAAAATAATGAAAAAGATAGACTATGTTCCTCACTGATAGCGTAGCTTTTTAATGGTGATAGAATTATTAAAACCGACTAAGTAGTTTTTGAGTTATTTAAAAATACAAAAATACAAATCTTTCCTCTTTATAATATTAGTATTTTATAATATACAATGTCACAGTATTAAACAGGAATGCGGGAACTAGGGATCAAAAAACTCTGGCATCCTTATATCGTTGTCTCACACTTTCATCGTATTTAATATTATAATTATATACCTATCTCACCCGAATCCATCGCATCTTCATCACTGGCCAGCTTAGCTTGAGTGTACAGCATAAAGCAACAGAGAGCTAAGATTTTACACCACATCTTTACCCTCGACTCTATTGGACCGCTCTGAGAGTAGACCTTGTGTTTTCTCTGATAGTACTGTGTTATAGACTTAACAACGTTCAGACATGTACAAGTAAATTAAACATAAGCAAAGAAAGCAAAAATTACCCTAAATTTCGTCGCGCGATTTTGAGCTAAACTATTTAACTACGTCGTAGTCTTAGACTCCAAAAATCAAACAGAAAATGGGACCCACCTGCAAGCATTACCTTTCGGATAAAAAAAGAATTATCAAAGTCGGTCCACTAGCGGCGGAGTTATGCCGTAACACATATAAAAAAAAACATATAGACGAATTGAGTACCTCCTTCTTTTGGGAAGTCGGTCAAAAAACACTGTTCAAGGAGTTTTTACATGTTCTTATGTAAAGAATAAGAAATAATTTTATTTGTAAAGTGAAATGTTAAATGGTCTTAAAAAAGATTTAAAAATTATTTATATACCTGAACATAATATGGTTTATCTAAAACAAATACTAAATTTAAACCGTATCTAAAAATACTTTTAACTCTTTATTATAGAATGTATAAATTTTGAAATTGATTGACGTAAAAAAAGCACCTATGTTTATTTAGTTTTAGTATACGTTATGTAATATTTAAGTAAACGCAAAGTTAATAAAGCTCTACAAATAAATTAAGATTTCAACAGATAAGTTATAATAGTCGTAACTTCCTTAGCAAGCCACAAAGTTATGTAACTATATTCATGTAGCGATGCAATAAAACTTTTTTCATTACAAATAAGACGTGAACCGTAATGTCCCTGTAAAGAAAAGTTGAGTTTACGGGTCGGTTTTATTTTATACTAGCTGTTCCCGTGCGACTTCATCCGCATTTTTTCAATTTTATTTTGTTGTTTACATGTGTCAAATTATCAATTGCAAATGTCAAAATGACATGAAATTATGACAAACCATGGCAACCTTGCTTCCTTTATGTTGGCAGCAACTTATGGTCTCTTTCCCACTTTAGGGTTTTTATCCAAAACATTAACCCCCTAAGTTTAATACCGTGAAAATATATAGCCTAAAGCATGACGTAAGTGTAGGGCTTTTTATTAAAATAAGAATTATTCAAAAACATGCTGTAATTGCTGATATCTTAGGCAACAAAGAAGTGTGTGTTTACGCTTTATTATATTAGTATAGTGTATATGTAGTATAGATAAAAAAAAATCTTTCACGATAATTGTCGGGTCTAAAATGTTCGATGTTCTATACACTCTAACGAGTTCAGGATGTTTTGGAGTAGGGTATGTTTGTTTGTGTCAACATTGATTGCGAGTTAACAGCTAGATGAAAATTACTCGGAAATAAACCTTTCCCCTATTGTTTTTTACTATCACATTTAAAGTACATTGACAGCATGGGTTAATTGATTTTTAGTGCCTGCGTCTACCCGAAACTAAACTATCGCACAACTGTTTTGTCTCGCATTGATTCCTATGAGCTCATAAGGCGTGCAAACTACTAGATTTTTAGTTGAGCAACTAAACTGCGAAACAATCGACAATAACATAACAGTCGTGCGATAGTTTATTCAAAGGTGTGCGCCCGCTCTTACACCGAAGGGCAACTTAGGATGCGTCTAAATTTATATCTGGTCAGTCAATATCGATCGCTAGATGGCGCTGATAAAACAGTAGCATTTGTAAAATAATTATATCTATGATTCAATAAACAAAATAATATCGCAATTTATAAGACTTTTTATAATCAGTATTTATTTTATTTATGAATTTTTATGTTAACACTGGCCATTGACAATTCATCAAGACAAAACAAATTAAAAAGCGTAATAAAAAAGCAAAGATTTTAGGCGCGAAACAAAAGACGGCGAGATGTGATGCGAAAGAAACAACATAATTGTTTTTGTAATTGTAAATATTGTGATTAAGAATATAGAGGTTATGAAAAAAGACGGTATTATTTTATTTATTTTTATTTATCTATACTATAGAACTGTTTAATCGAATTCGTTATTTGTATATGTTGATGTTTTATAATTCAGTTAATTGCGTTTTTAACAACTTTAACAAATGTTAACCTCCAAAAATTTTATCTTCACTACTTGCATCATAAAAGAGGAAAGATTTGAATACTACGCATTGAAATAACTCAAAAACTACTGGGCCGATTTTAAAAATTCCTTCACTGTTAGAAAGGTAATTTATATGAGTAACATAGGCTATATATTTAAATTTCACGGAGACGAAGTTGAGAACAACAGCTCGTCATTAATAATCTTTAATATTGTGTAATTTGAATAAGGCTTTATGAAGCTGGAACTTATTGTTGTCGAGATGATAAACGAGCCACTTCCTGCACGTCTCTAGTCGTTAGTCGACAATGTGATTAATGTACAGATTTACTATGAGTATTAGTAAAATATTTATTTAAATCACTAGCTTTCGCCCTCGACTCCGTCCGCGTGGTATTAAAAAAACTAAAGTGAGTAGCCTATGTGCTCTTCCAAACTATCATCTACATCTGTACCAAATTTCATCAAAATCCTTTCAGCCGTTTAGGCTACAAACTCTAACATCCATCCATCCAAACGTTCGCATTTACAATATTAGTAAGATTTGTAAGGACCTAAAGCAGCAGCTCTCTTGCATGTAAGCTAGAATGTGCCATAAACGCTAACTGGTATTCCAATCTATTTTATAATTTCGGACAAGGAGTATCGAGAGCTTAAGAAATATGACACCGACTCGTTTAGTAGTGTCATGAACAAATTACTGGAATATACTTTGAACCAGTAGCTGACTTGCCAATAAATGTTATTTATTTTATATTATTAATATATATTAATTACTGTCACAACAGTGTTGCCAGAGGTCTAATTTTAGTGCCTTTCCCTTCCCACCATTATACGCAATGGATTTGACGGTGGAGGAGACGCATAGG